GGACGGAACCGGAGAGGAGGGGCAGCTGAGTGCCTGGCTGGCGTTCCCTAGCGGGAAGGAGATAAAAGCTCTGACTGTGCTGGGCCCCAGTTCCAACTGCTCTGAACCCCAGTTCTAGGCCAGACCCCGGGGACCCATGCTCAAACAGAGGGAGCTGGGCTATAAGGCAGAACCCCAGAAGAGCAGCGAAAGGAGGTCCCGGAGGCGCGTACATTGCACGCAGAGAAGGGACTGTTGGCTGTGCCGCGGGATTGCCCTGGCAGGAAGGAGACAAAAGCGGACTACTCTGAACACCACCTCCAACTCCACTTCCAACTGAACTGAACCCCAGTTCCGGGCTCATTGGGGGAAAGCCTAGACTGTTTGATAGCAGGTGAAAATCGAGGGCACCTTTCTCTCAGAGGCACTTGCAACGAGTACTGAAGGACCCTGAGAAACACTGAGACTCAGGAACCGCATAGGGCGGGGCTGACGGAAGCCAAGCCTGTAGGCTCCACCCTGAAACTCTGCCCCATTAGGGAAGCTGCGAAAATGCCGAGATCACAAACGAAAGAAATGGAGGAAAAGAAGAGACTGGATATAGAGTTCAAATCTACGCTTATAAGGTTTTTCAAGAATTTCCTAGAAAAGGTCAATAAGACCTATGAGGATATGAAAAGAGATCAACTAGAATTAATAAGGAACCAAAAAGAAATGATAAGGGATCAACAAGAAATAAATAATACATTGTCTGAAATAAAAATATTATACAGAGTCCTAAAAACAGAATGAAAGATTGCAAGAATCAAGTCAAAGATTTGGAACATAAAGAGCCAGAAGACACTCCTCCGCAGAAGCAAGAAGGCAAGAGAATCCAGAAAATTGAAGATAATGTAAGAAACCTCTGGGACAACTTCAAGCGAACCAACATCAGAATTATGGGGGTCCCAGAAGATGAGAGAGAGCAAGATATCAAAAACATACTGAAAGAAATAGTGCCAGAAAACTTCCCCCACCTGGTGAAAGAATTAGACTTACAAGTCCAGGAAGCGCACAGAACTCCAAACAAAAGGAATCCAAAGAGGACCACACCAAGACAAATCATAATTAAAATTCCAAGAGCAAAAGACAAAGAGAGAATATTAAAAGCAGCAAGAGCAAAGCAGGTAGTTACCTATAAAGGAGCACCTATATGATTGACAGCTGATTTCTCAACAGAAACCATGCAGGCCAGATGGGAATGGCAAGAAATATTCAAGGTGATGAATAGTAAGAACCTACAGCCAAAGATAATCTACCCAGCAAAGCTATCACTCAGAATCAAAGGCCAGATAAAGAGCTTCACTAATAAAAAAAAAAAAAAACTAAAGGAGTTCATCACCACCAAACCAGAATTATATGAATTGTTGAAGGGGGTTCTTTTGGAAGAGAAAGTAAATAAAGATAAAAATTATGAACAACAAATACGTAGCTATCAACAAGTGAATCCAAAAACCAAGGAAATTAAAAAAAAAAATCTGATGAACAATATTAACTGTTGAATATAATAGAATCAGAGGTATGCAAGGGGAGTGAACTGATGATTCTTGGGGGAAAGGGGAGGGGAGGATGTGGAAAAAGACTGAACATAAACTGTGCACCTATGGATGAGGACAATGCGGGGTGGGGAAAGGGCAGAGGATGGGTGGGTACCTGCTGGAGGAGAGCAGGGGGGGTGGGGGAGGAACATTTGTAATAATATGAACAATAAAAATTTATTTTAAAAAAATATGTTCCCCTCAATGTATCATATCAAGAGGCACATTCTTGGTAGCCATTTGGTTAAAATGGTATATCATAAAGCTAAAAGGGTCTTTCACCCCATTGTGCTTGTACTCTTCACGTTTACTGTCTACAGCCAAGAGGCAGAAAAATCAATGAGTTGTTGCATTTTTATATTTAATCCTCACCTGGAATGTATTTTTATTGATTTTTGAGAGAGGGAGTTGGGAGAGAAGGATGGGGTGGGAGGGGGGGAGTAGGAGATAAGAGAGATCTGTTGCCTCCCACACACACCCTGATCTGTCACCTTTCAGTGTACATGACACCACTGCAATCAGCTGGGCCACTTGGCCAGGGGGGTTGTTGGTTGTAAAAGGTTCATGTGACAGTATCTATAAGAATGTCAGGCATCTGAGTCACGTTTGTGCAATTACAAATAACCATAAGTAGCAGAATGAAGATTTTCCTTTTCCTCCAGAGACTAAGTTTCCTCCATAATCTTAAAGTAGATTGAGTCTTGAGTTCATCTAACTGGTTGCAACAACGGGGTCTGCCCTAATAATGTTACCAAGTAGTTTCCCACATGGTTTGCCTTCTGTTTCTCTGCCTCTCTCTTGATCACTTTCACGCTGACATTTTGTATTTGGTAACACAGGGACTACTTATTTTGGAAAATCACAATATGGGGACAGAACTGAAAAAAATTCCCAAGTCTCTCTTCATCAGAGAATCCATTAAGAATCAATACAGAGAGAAAGCATAAAGAAAGCATGGATAGTGTTGATAAATGGATAGGACTGGGAACAGGGGTCCCAGAACTCAAAGTAAACAAGAAGTCAGGGGTCATCATTCCCACCACGCCAATAGGGATTTGGGGGAGATAGTGACCTGACCCAATTCAGCCGGGGGTGCTATGCTTTCTTGTGTGAATGCAGCATAACACTTAGTATATCGGGCTTCAATTAAAAACTGCACCTAGCCTTGGCAGGGTAGCTCAACTGCTTAAAGTGCCATCTCCATACACCAAGGTTACAGGTTCCATCTTCAGATTGGGCACATACAAGAATCAACTAATGAATGTGTAAATAAGTGGAACAACAAATCGATGTTCCTCCCTCCCTCCCTCTCTCTCTCTCTCTTTCTCTCTCTCTCCCTCCCTCCCTCCCTCCCTCTCTCCCTCCCTCCTTCTCCTCTCTCTGAAATCAATAAAAAATAAATAAAAAGATGTACCTAAAGCACATGCAAATCACTTTGTAGAGATCACTTTGCCTTTGCAGCATTTTAAGTTATTATCTTACAACAAATTTACTATATGCCAGGCATTATTCCACTTGTTTTTAAGTATATTAACACATTTGCCATCTCAATAATAGTGTAAAATGGTTCCTATTATTCTCATTTTGTAGATGAATAATCTGAGGCCCAGAGAATACAGTGACTTGTCCAGGTTCACATGACTATTAAGCACAGAATTTCTGTAAAAGGCCAGGAAGTGAACATTTTAGCCTTGAGCCATGCGGTCTCTGTCGCAACTACCCAACCCTACGTTTGTGGAGCAATAGCCATTAAAGATAATACATAAATGAGTGAGTATGTTTATGTTCTAACAAAATTTTATTTATGGACACTGAAATGTGAATTTCATATCATTTGCATGTGTCATGAAATATTTACCCTTTTGATTTTTTTAACCATTTAAAAATCTAAAAAAGGCATTCTTTAAAAGAAAAAAAGATATGCATCTTATTTTTTTATCATAATTATTATTATTTCATTCTCATCCAATCACTTTCTTAGAGAGAGAAAGATCAATTGGTGGCCTTCTGCAGGTGAACCCGCATCCTAAATATGTGCCCTGACCAGGAATTAAACCAGTTGGGCAACCTTTCAATGCATAGGACTATGGTCCAACAACTGAGCAACTCTGGCCAGGCTAAAAAGCATTCTTAACTCCCAGGTGGTATAAAAATGTCAGCAGACTGGGTTTAGCTCTTAAGCTGTAGTTTCCTTCAGTAAGTGGCAGAGCCAGGACTTGAACCCAGGCAGTGTGAGTCCAGCAAGCTCTTAGCCATTGTGTGTGTGTGTACACATGTGCACACGTGCATATGCAAGCTATATCATGATGATAGTATACAATGATCTTTATTTAAAAAAAAAAAAAAACAGCCAACTATATAGGAGAAACTAACAACCATCCATAAAATCACAGCTCAGTAATATTGGATAGTTTCTTTTATTCTTTTGTCCGCTGTATGTAGTATTCAATTTTTTAATTCTAGTTTTTCACTTCTCATAAGCGTTTTCTACATTCCCACACAGGCCACATAATCATCATAGTTAATAGATTTATAATCATTCATTTTAAATGTATTATTTTGAAAGTATCCTACAGCTAATAATTTCATAAAGCCAAGGATCCTTTCATTAAGTGAGCCGTTGGTCACCTTTCATTTATCTCCCACATAGTTGCGTTTCTAGGAGTGGATTTTTTTTTTTAAATCAATCTTTATTGTTCATATTATTACAATGGTTCCTCATTTCTTCCCCCCTCCACCAGGCTCCCACTCCACCCTCCGCCCCCTCCCCATCCCCCATTGTCCTCATCCATAGGTGCAGTTCATGTTCAGTCTAGGAGTGGATTTTTAAAAGCAACCCGTCTAGAGACAGGGATGGAGGAAAAAAGGCTTTGAAATCCACCAAACCTGGATTTGGCTTTTCTTCGTGCCTTGATGAGCCAAATGATCCTGAGTACATTGTTAACGTCCCACACCTCCGTTTTGCCTTGCTTTGAAAAATAAACCAAGACCACCATATACCAAGTCCTGAGCATCTTCCCAGCACAGCGCGAGGGTCGCTTGGTTGCAGCCAGCCCTTAGGTTCCCTGCCACCCCCACCACTCCTAGTCCCCAACGCCGCACACAGGAAACAGACTATTTCATTCATGGATGTAAAGAGAGTGTCCTTTTCTGTTTGGTGCAGGACCTGAGAGCTTTCTCCCCGAGGGAAAATGGGCTGGCAATCCTGGGGAAATAGGGAGGGTTAATGAGGTGGGTGGGACCTGAGTTGACAGCCTCCACCCCACCCACCTTTCCTGCCCCGCCCCAGTGAGGAGACTACTCTTGAAATTTTCAAACTGAAGCGGGTGCCCGGGTTTCTACAACTGCAGGTGGCATTCTGACAGCAGAGACGGTGCTTCTTTTCCCAGGTACAGAGGGCCTCCAACCAGATATCTGGAAGAACTGCAGAGACCAGCCAACTCCATGGGCAGCAAGGAGCCCATAGAGCTGAGGGCTGTGACCGCCTCTGAAGCAGAGGGCCACAGAAACACTGCCTTCCAGGTGAGCAGAACTTCCATCTATTTTTTAAGACCAAGTAAGTGACAATAATCCTCTTTCCATGCCTCTTTGGCAAGTTTCTTAACTAAAGCTATGTACTTATTGGGACCCAGTAAGATTTTTTTAAGTGGCACTTTTTAAACCCATTGCTTTTCCTTCTTGCGTGGACAAACCTGAAAAGTCTCTTTTAATGGGAACCTGTTTTGATCCCTGGCTTGGCTTATCACTTGGAAACAAGATTATTCTCCTGCTTTTGTCCAACTAGCTCCAGGCAGGGACACAGTAGATGCCTGCAGGCTGGGTGAGAGAGGAAGAACAGAGAAAATTCAGATCCTGAATGTAGTTCACACCTCAGGGTTTCTTTCTCTTAAACCAGGTCCCCAACTCTCTGAGAGAAGGTGGCCTGGGTGCCTACACCAGTGCAGCTGGGTTATACAAACCAGTCTCATGTCATCAACCAAAACTCACTGAGTGATTAATGCTGCTTGGCCCAGGGAGTCCCATCATTGGGAAACTCCAGGCTGCTCCGACTGGATCTGGCCTGGGGATTTTTCAGGGCTGTTCCTAAATGTGCTTCCTGGGAGCCTGCAATTCCTTGGATTTAAGAGTCTTCAGAGTCACTAAACAGGCAAAACAAACTTTTAGGCATTAGCAAAAGAGGAACAAGGAAGGTAAAAGGGCTGTGACACAAATCCTGACTCTTTCACCAGTTATTAAAACTCCCCTGAGCCTCAGTCCAGTTGCCTGCACAGAGATCACAGTGATCCCATAAGTTATAGTGTAGGGGAAGGAAAAAAATATTTTCTCTACCCTCTTGGATTCAGTGCCTGGGGTCTGTGAATTAAACTGATAAATGATAGATTTATAGGAAAAGTTATACAAATTTTATTAATATTTTTAATTTTACCTGCACTGGGATTTATAGAAAATAAGACTCAGGGGCTTATATACTTTTTAAAAATACATATATATGTGTGCTTTTATTGATTTATTTTTTTAGAGAGAGAGATAGAGGAAGAGAGAGATAGCAATATCCATAGAGAAACAGGGCATTATATATCTTTTTAACAAAGAACGGGTAAATGTGAAGAAGTGTCTATACAAAGGAAAGAGGTTGGGCTTTTAGGGCCAATATATTGTGGGGAAACTGACTGGGAAGTAAATAGGGAGGACTAATGGAAGATACGATTTGTTAGTGAGGTTTGTTTATGCAATCTTACCTCAATGTCATCTCTGTTTCCAGTGATAAGGGTTGTTCACCTCTTTCTGGTTTGGGAGAGGGGGACACATGTACAGGGGAATGTATGCCCTGCTTTAGGGCAGATATGGAGAAAAGAAAGAGCTCTTTCTGTGTTTCTGTGTCTGCTTTTTGTCAGTTGCCTTTAGTTTAAAAATTCTTATACCCAAGTGTCATATTTGGGGTGGCTTTTTTTTTGTTTGTTCGTTTGTTTCAAAGAGGAAAGGAGAGGGAGAGAGAGGAAAAAAACATCAATGATGAGAGAATCATTGATTGGCTGCCTCCTGCACTCCCCACGCCAGGGTCCCAGCCTGCAACCTTGGGCATGTGCTCTTGACCGGAATAGAACCTGGGACCCTTTAGTCACCTGAGCCAAACTAGCTGGGGCTGGGGTGGCATATCTTTATCACCTTCAGAAGAGCTAAGTGAGAAGAAAAGCATAGAGCAAAGGGCCTATTATGATCCAAGAGGATTAAGGGGATGGAATGGGATAAAGAGGCAATGTGAATACAGTGGCAAGACGGAAGTGTCTGCTAAGGAGAAAGGTCCATGCTATAGCAACTGGCTGCTCCGTCAGCAAGGAGGACACACCAACGGTGGCCCTGCTGTTTTTTTCTTTGTGTTGTTTGTTGTTGGTGGTGGTGATGCTAATGACTGAATGCCCTGTTTTCTATCCCTCACCTTCTTCTATCAAAGCAGAGCATCTACAGTCTTCAGGGTGCAGAGCAGGGCAGCGTAAACCTAGCAGATCACTGCACACCAACGCCAATCAATGGTGACCAGGCTATTTCTTCCCATGCTTGTTTTTTCACAAAAATTTCCAGGGACAGGTACTTACTCAGCAAAACCATTGACTACCCTCTAGACATGGCCACCACTAGGAAGAGATCCCAACTCAAGAAGCAATAATACACTATATTGGCCCTCAAGGAATAGGGCAAGCAGAAACAAATGAGCAATTGTAATTATAATATAACTAGTGGCCCATTGCAGGAAGATTCCTGCAAGTGATCGCTGCCCCACCGGCTTCCCTCCCTTCTCCCCCAGCTCTTCCTGCTTTCCTTCCTTCTCCCCTGGCCCTGCCTGCCTGCTTCTTGGCAGCTTGGCTCCCTTCTGCAGCGCTTGGCTCCCTTCTGCAGCACTTGGCTTCTTTCTAAGTTGTCTTCAATCTTTGCTCTGGCCTGGATATGCAGATTAACCACCATCTTGGTTGGGTTAATTTGCATACTTGTTCTGATTGGCTGATGGGCGTGGCTTGTATGGTCAATTTACATGTTTCTCTTTTATTAGGTAGGATGTGATGGAAAATAAAAACAAAAGAAATATAACCCTGGAGGTTGACACCAAATACCCTGTATATAAATGTAGGTGGAGCTGGGTGATTGTGTGACAGCATCACAGAGGGAGAGAGAATATCAGATCGGGCCTATAGGGTAGGCAGGGGTCCCCAATTGAACAGGGCATCGCAAGCAAAAAGAACTGTTTGTGCACAGGCCCAGGAGTCTGAAAGAACATGTGTGCCAAGATAAGAGGGTAGGCTGGCACTAGATTACATGGCTTCTGTGTGCGATAAGGTATTTCTGAAGGAGCCAATCAGAATTAATACTATCAAATTTTTTTAAATATATGTTTTATTGATTTCAGAGAGGAAAGGAGAGAGAGAGAGAGAGAGAGAGAGAGAGAGAGAGAGAGAGAGAGAGAAACATCAATGATTAGAGAGAATCATTGATTGGCTGCCTCCTGCACACCCCCTACTGGGGATCAAGCCCACAACCTGGGCATGCGCCCTTGACCAGAATCAAACCCCATACCCTTCAGTCCACAGTCCAATGCTCTATCCACTGGACCAAACTAGTCAGGACTATACTATCAAATTTTAAGAGTACTTTACTACCCTTGTTGAAGGTGGACAGAAACAGAAAGAGATGTGTGTGTACGTATGCGCAGTGGAACACCAGTTAGGAGAGGAGTATAATAATCTAAACTAGGTTCGAGGCAGTGGAAACCGATGTCAGGTGAGGAAGCACAATTGCTGATAGAGGGCCTTCAGCACTAGAACTTTTTAAAATTAAATTTATTGGGGTGACATTGGTCAATATAAACATACATGTTTCGGTGTGGATTTCTATGTTACAAGATCTGTATATTGCACCATGTGCTCACTACCCAAAGTCAAATCTTCTCCTCTCACCATGAATAATGAACATAGGGCATTTGCATATATCTTTGCAAATACATGATTTTGAGGTTTTCGAGTATATGCCCAGGAGAGGAATCAGCACTGGAATTGATAGGAATCTGGAATAAGAGCTATTGGCTCTGAAGATTTCAGTTTTCTCCTCTGTAAGGAAGGATAATAATATCCTATATTAGGGTTGTTGAGAGAATTAAGTGAGCTAAATAAGTTTTTTAAATGTATATCATAAATATGTCATATATATAAAAAAACAAAACAGTTCTGTCTTATACTATTTAAGCTGTATAACAAAATATCTGCGTGGCTTATAAACAGAAATTTACTTCTCACAGTTCTGAAGTCCAAGATTAAGGCAACAGCAGATTCTGGGTCTGGTGAGGACCCACTGACACTGAACTCAAGTTTGACTGCCACTTCTATAGCCAATACTCAAGAGTCAGATGCTGGTGCAAGGAAGGACACAGTTTATTCAAGTGCCAGCAGCCTGGGAAGAGGGCAGACACCCATCCCAAAAATCACCTTAACATCTCAGTGCACACTGGGGTTTTTATTAGGAGGGAGAGAGAAAGCAGAACAAATAAATGAGTGACTAAGGGGTTGACAGTTCTCTACTGTAAGTTAGCACAGTCCATTCTGATTATTATCTCAAAACTGGTCAAGGGAAGATCCAGTTTTTATGGTTGAGAGTCAGCAAGTCTCCCGGAGCCAGAACATCCAGTTGCTGGAGTCAGCCTCCTCCCTGAAGCTAGTTCCAGCAACTCTTACACACATATGCTTGCTCATCCATGGGGTACATGTTATTTAACAATTCACCTTTCACAAAAGCACTTTTAACAGGAACAGTATTAAAAGAATGGAGGGGTGAGTTACCCTATCTCCTCAAAGACAGCCGTCTTCCTGTGTCCTCACATGGAAGAAGGATGCAAGAGCACTCTCCGGGGTCTCTTATAAGAGCTCTTCCCCAGTTCACAAGGGCTCTTCCCTCAGGATGCAATCACCTCCTACATCACATTGGGAATGAAGGCCTCAATATATGGGTTTGCGGGGGACAGAAACATAAGACCATAGCAAGAACCTAGTATACAGAATGACCTTAATCATAGTGGCCTTTGGTGCTGGGGCAGGGTAAGGAGAGTGGGGAGTAACCATTTCTAGCTTCAGGTGTCAACGTGGCAGTTTATTTAGTTAGGAAATCCGGCAATAGGGTTGGAGTGAGGAAGAGAGTGAATTGTTTTTGAGGCCAGCTTTGAAATCCAGGCGATTCCGTACACCTGGATAAAGAAGGAGCTGAAGCAGGAAACAGATGCACAGCTGTCTCTGGAGCCTAGAAGAGGACATCAGCCATCGGGGGGCCATGAGCACCGAGATGGGCCACAGGTGTGGATGTGAGACCTCCAGGAGGGAAAGCTGGGAGGCTCCTGGGTTGAGTGAGCAGAAAAGTTGGAGAAGTCAGATGGAAGGGTCAGAAGATTCGGGGCCAAGGGAAAAGAGAGCTACCAGGTCAACAGCAAAACGTCCTCTGGGGAACAGAGGAGCACATCGAATGAGATCAGGTCATTGATTTGCCAA